TAAGAATAAATAAATACTAAATAAACCTAATTACCTCCGGCCCCAACAAAAAAATAAATAAACTTAAAATAAGAATAAAACCATGTTGTCTTATCAGGATTAGCAAATTCTCCAGTCCAAAACAAGAGGAACCCAATGCAGTTTGCAACAGTCACTACATTATAGTAGTCTCACCAGTGATGGTTGGTTTGCAGCAAAAAGTGAGTTAAAAAAATAAAAGCTCTATTTTTCTTAGTTGGTATGTTTATTAAAAATATAGACCAATGGGCCTGTGCTTAAATGATGGCATTGTGTGCTGGCTTCCATAAAACATAAGTAATTGAAAGGAACTCTTCAACAAATATATGCCAGACAAAAGTAAAAAAATCCACAGAAATGACTCGTAAGACAGTGCCATTGCAGACTTAATTCCCTTATAATTAATACTTGCTAGAAAATGGAGTATGACATCACTTACAATTATACCAACATTCATGAGGCTGAATATCACAGGCAAAAAGGTGTACTATGACCATAAAACATCTTTTCATAAATCGCAAATAGCTTTATCTTTTAACTATAAAGGTGAGTTACCAGAGCCAAACTTGTTCTTAACAAGTAGAATTTTTATGTCCATTCAAAGAGTCTCTTACATCTGTCTGGGCCTATTCGTTTGCAGATAGGAGGAGAAACTGTAACCAGGTTCTTCATATCATGCATTCACCCGTGATGCCCACTCTTCATATGCTGTCCAATTTCTTTAAGATAAAAGGAGCTGAAAGAAAAATAAACCCAGATTTGTTTTCAGATCTGTTAGCCGACAGGTTACGTTATGCAATTATAAGATTGGGTATAAAGATTAACAATTAGTTTAACACATTTTTTCAAAACTCCAAGTGCACACCCAGCAAAAGGGACTCACTGTCTTTCAAGGCAGCCCATCCCACTGTCATGCAGCTAGGCCTCCTATAAAGTTCTTTCTTACATTACAGAAATTCTTTTCTCCAGGTAGTCCTCCTCTTAGGACCATAAAAAGTAAATCCAGTCCTCCTTCAAATGACAAGCCTTTACTTGTGATTTAACAGTCAAAGGAACAAAACTCTAGAACAAATTAGCGTTTTTACTTTTAAAAATGCATTTGAAAGAAGGCAAAGGGTGAGGGAAAACTCTTGGAGCAGGATCCAAAAGTGCTGGGCACATGTTTTGGTTCCCTTACTGACCAGTTATACCACTTAGGTGCTCCAGGTCACACCTGATACAGTCCCACTTCAGTTATTATGAGGGTCTCGTAGGGTGGTGTAGCTATAAATGCGGAAGTGTTGTCAGACGAATCTAAAGAAGTGATATTACTGCCCTGTGTAAAAGTGCTATGGCCATAATAAACACATGAAAACATGCTCAGCATCACTAAGGAAATGCAAATTAAAACTACAGTGAGATACCACTTCACACTCACTAGGATGGCTACTATCAAAAAAACTGTTGACAAGGATATGGAGAAACTGGAATCCTTGTGCCCTGTTGCTGAAAATGTAAAGTGGTACAGCTGCTATGGAACACAGGATAGTGGTTCCTTAAAACATTAAATGTAGAGGTATCTATACATCCATGTTCACAACAGCATCACTCACAATAGCTAAAATGTAGCGGCAACCCACGTGTCCAAAGACGGATGAATGAATAAGCCAGATGTCGTAACTACATACAATGGGGTATCACTCAGCCTTAAAAAGAAAGGAAATTCTGACACATGCTACAACATGGATGAATGTTAGGACATTCTGCTAAATTAAATAAGCCAGTTACAAAAGACAAATACTGTTATGATTCTACTTAAGTGAGATACTTAGAGTAGTCAAAATCAGAGACAGAAAGTAGAATGGTAGCTATGAGGGGCTGGGAGAAGAGGGAATGGAGAATTATTGTGTAACAGCTATAGAGTTTCAGTTTTACAAGATGAAAAGTTATAGAGAAATGGTGGTGATGGTTACACATATTATGAATATATTTAATACCACTTAACACTTAAAAATTGATAAGATGGGAAATTTTTTATATGTATTTTACCAAATTAAAAAAAATGGAAAAAAAGGTTGTGACCAAAACTGCCAGAATGATCTTATTTCACATATCCATACTAAATTAATAAAATATTATGTTAGTACTAAATTGAAGATATTGAAATCTGTGAGTAGCTGACCAAGTTAGCAGTATAACCAGCCTTTGAAAAAAAGAAAAACTAATTCGTATCAGAAAAAAAACAGTAACAGCCATCAAAAGAATGGATAAATGAGGAGAGATGGAGAGGATATAGCTCAGTAGTAGAGCATGTCCTTAGTATGTATGAGGTCCTGGGTTCAATCCCCAGTACCTCTGTTTAAAAAAATAAATAAATAAAATCTAATTACCTCCCTCCCCCCAAAAGAATGGATAAACAAAGCGTGGTGGAATATTATTTGGCAATAAAAAGTAAGGAAATACCAATACATGCTACAATATGGATGAACCCTGAAAACATGCTAGACACAGTCACAAAGGGTACAATTCCATTTACATGAAATGTCCAGAATAGGAAAATCCATAAAGACAAAAAGTAAATTAGTGGTTGCCAGGGGCTGGGGAAGAGGGTAAATAGGGGTAATGATCACTAATGGGCATGGTGTTTCTTTCAGAGGGAAAGAAAATGTTCTAAAATAGACTGTGGTGATGGCCGCACAACTCTGACCACACTAAGAATTGATGAACTGTACACCTTAAACGGTGAATTGTGTAAGCAAACTACATCTCAATTTAAAAAGTGGTAAGGAACACTGTTCTGTATGTTTTTTTAAAAACCGATTCATATCAAATACAAAGGTCACTGAGAAGAAGCAAATATTCTACTGGCAGCTGAAGTCAACCAAAAAAAGGTTAAAGAAGGAAATATGTAAAGTTGGGAGTTGCAAAAATCTGTTGGAGGACGATTTCGGAGTTTCCGTTTACCAGGGCTCCCTCTCCTGGGGAAGCAGAGTATTACCACAGACAGGAATGGGGCAGATTAAGGGAGATCAGACCTCAATGAGATCAGGCCGAAGGCCCAGCATGAGCCTTCTATGAGATGACCTTGGTATGACCTTTACTTATTTGAATCATTCCTGCCTTTCCATCAAGACCTGTCAACAACATACAGTAAGGAATACGTAAAAGAATATGAGCTGAAAAATGAGGCGACAAGGGCAAATCACTTCTGAGATGCCTGTCAGCAAAATTAGAGAACTGATCTACAAAACTGCATCCAGCTCTAATACTGTGTGCCTGTAATTCTGATTCCTTGCATAAGTCCCCTCTGAAAGCAGAGTTCTCATTTGCAAAGGGGATATACAGAGTCTTAGGCCCTGCCTCTCTCAAAGGGCTATCGTCAAGATGAAGTAATGGAAATAGTTTCTACCAAATGTAAAAATCAAATAAACCTTCAGGCAGTATCATTAATCTTATAGACTCATATCCTTTTCTTCTCATTCCTAACAACAACAAAACGAAATTATTTACTTCACCCTCTGTACAATCAAAAGGAACAAAACCTTTTGGACTTCAAAGATTAGCAGTGACGGAAGGAAACTTGGCAGTGAGTTAAGAACTCTGGATTCCAGGTCAAGATCATTCACCGAATCGCTGTATGACCTTGAGTCAGCCATTTCTCCACTCAAGATATCAGCTTCTCTTAAAAACGAGGGAGTTATTCGGGGGACAACCCCTGAGGCTCTTTCAATTCAAAGGCTCTTTAAGACAGTGAGTGGCTGCCGCGTGCACTTCTACATCCGAACCCTGAATCGAGGACCCTAAGCCGCGCGCATGCGCCCGCTGCCCTCGACGAGCACGTCACTTGCTCCCCGCGACCGCTTAACTCAGCTCAAGGGCCCCCAAAGGCTGACAAGGGCCAGAGTTGGGTGGGCAGCGTCGGCCAGCTCTCTGCTAGTCTCACAGTCACAGACTGAGAAGGACACTTACTGACTCGCAGCAGGGCCACATAAATGAGGAAGTTCCGTATGGAGCAGATCACATCCTCGCGCATCTTCCGTTTCATCTCTTCGGGGTCCAGCTTCGGCCCAAGGCTCTCGATCCGGAACATCGCGGCTCTGCCTCACGGGTTACAGACACCGCGCTCCGCTCTTTTCAGCAGCCGCCTGGCGCCCGGAACTCGGCCCAAGCCCATTTCCTGTTCTCGCCCCTCATTTTCACGCGCGGCGACAGGAGCCTGCGAAGGACAAACTTCGTCCTTAAAATTGAGCTGTTCTGAAGGAGAGTGGCCTGAAGGGGGCGCACAGAATCTTAGTGATGCAGGACTTGGATTCTTCCAGACTGTGTTGAGCACTGCGCGCGCGTATGCAAAGTGATTTTAGGCCTTGGAGGTCGGGCGGTACACAGAGGTACCACAATAAATAGTAATAGCTAACATTTACTGAATACTCAGTACAGTTCTGCCCCATGAATTCTGTATTATAATCTCCATTACCTAGATGGGAAAATGGAAGCACAGAGATCTTTAAAATAACAGCTTGCCAAATATGCTTTAAAATACCTCAGGGCGGGGGGACAAGTGTTAGGAAAGATGAAACGATATTAGGAAAATTGAAAATTTCTTAGTGATGATCAGTCTCTCATTTAAATTAGTTATTTTAGTCTTCCTATTTTGAGTATTTTTGAAATTTTTTATGATAAAACAAAAAGACGAAAATGATGAAACTTGTTCAAGATTACACAACTAGTGAATGCTGAGCGGGGTTTTATACCTAGTTAGATTGATAGGATCCCAGACACAGAGTGTTTAGTATTTATTGTTGTCTTCTCATTTCTGGAGTCAACCGATCATCACAAATTATAGTATTGGCCCAGTAATACAGTATGTATGAATCATGTTTAGATCTGCTCAGCATTTTACAGCTGAGGACAGAGAGGCTTAGAAACCAAGTGTAATGCTTAAAGTCTTTTAGCTAGAATCTGGGCAGAGTCAGAGTTCTAATGCAAGTAATTACAATGTCAAGTTGAATTCTCTTTCCCCTGCACCCTACTGTTCCTCTGTTAGTCTTTATTAGCAGTTAGTGCCTACTTGGATGGGCATCCCTGGAGCCAGAAGGCAGGAATTTAATGCAAACAGATTTCCTGTCACAGAATCATCAAAACAGTTGTTAGAAGGCTGCTGCCCCAAATTATGCATGCCAACTAGCCACACATAATTCTTAGACACAAACCAGATGACTAAATTGCTCACATTATTCAAAACCAGAATGCTCCTTCTTGACTGCCCATTGCATAGCAAAAATGGGTTTTAGATAAATTAGAACAGTAATTTACTATGGGAGCAACTGATAACTAGGTATTGTGGCCCACCTTCCTGATTGACAGAATGTAACACCTTGGTCAAGAAAGGGAACTCATCTGCCTATTCAGGCTTTAGTAACCTCTTGCATCTAATTCATGCAGTGGAATAGCAGAGGCAGCTCTGGGATGGAAGGGGCTGACTCCCAAGGAACAGCTCCATCCATGCCTTTGAGATTGTTTAGAAAGCCTGCACTGATGCTGGAAAGCACTGGGGGTTGAGGAAAGAACTGGAACAAGAAGACTGGAGATACAGCCTCTAGGTCTGGCACTGCCATTAATCTAGCCATGTGATGAGGGGCAAGTCTCTGTTTCACCACAACTCTGTTTCTTTAATTGTAAAGGGAGGAGATACAATTAAATGATTAGACGTTCCTGAGAGTCCCTTTCAGTTCTAATAGTCTATGCATTTGAATTCTAATTGTGTCATCTAGGACCTTCTGGTCTGGAGTGTATGGTTATCAAAATATTATGAAATGTAATGAGACATTGAAACAACCAGTGTGTGTGTCTTCCGTGGTAGGAAAAATGTAACAATAAGGCATCTCTCATCTATTTGAACAGTGAGGCAAAACAGATTGGCAAGGAATGACTTTTTATGTGATTCCAGTAACTTAGATCTCCAATGCTGACTTGAGTTTAGATAAACAGTTCTCATATGGAACCATCAGTTTTTTGTTGCTTTTTTTTAAACTAAGATGCTCTTGAGTAACTTGCCTGGATTCACAGGGAACCAGAGAGGGGAGAAATTAACAGAAAATCATATTTCTAAGTGAAAAGCACAGATTTTTAACATTTGAATTTTATTCATCCAGTATAAAAACCTGTTTGTTCAATGATGTGGTTGTAAATGGCTGATTTGTTAAAGGGCAAGATTATTCTCATAACAATTCTCGTAGAAAGGTCTGGGGCTTGCCTGCCCTGTAGGGAGACAGTAAAGTAGTAGGTGGAAATATGGCGCAGCTGTGTCTTGGGGTGAGGAACCGGTTCTTGACGTTATCTAGGAGGTGAACTGTTCCTGTTTCAGAAATGTTCATCCTGATGAACTCTTCCCCTTGCATGGCTCCTCTAGTGGTAATGGAGGAAACATTGAAAGAGGTTAGGTACTTTGTCTTTTCTTTTAGTGATGTTTGTTTGTTTGTTTGTTTGTTTATTTAGCATATTGGTGGTGCTACTGTCCAGTTTTGACTGGCTTAGGTGAGGCAAATTGAGAGAACATACTTCAGGAAGTCAGTACTGGAGTGAGCTGTTTCACATCTTGGACCTCTCATTTTGTTCCTCATTGGAATGAAGAAGGGGTTCAGTCTAATCTTTACAATCACTTGCAGCTCTAAAATGCTGAAATTCTGTGTTCATCTTTCCTGTTCTTCCCTCATAACCTTGCACTAAAGGCTAAAAGCAAAGAATTCCCTGTGATTTGCCATTGAAAGGCAAAAATAAAAAGTATGCACGTGTAATTTAATATTGGATATTTGTATTATTTAGTCTGATCACAGAGGAAATGGTAGCTGATGTCATAGCCTGTCTTGTTTTCCATTTCAATCCCAGCAGGAATTCAGTAGCCATTTATTTCCTTTGCCTCAACTTCCCAGACAGTACTGCACACAAGGGTTCAGTGTGTAAAACCTACCTATAAGAGAATTAAGTGTTTTGATTTCTATCATTGGGGAGGAATTTGTATTTGCAAGATCAGTGATTGACAGATGACTCACAATTGGGGAATATTTCTAGCATATAATCACAGGAACTTGGTAGTTTCTAATTTATAGGGCACATGTATTGAACAGTTCAACCCCTTCATTTGACAGATGAGAAAACTGAGGTCCAGAAGGAAGCTCGTTACAGGCAGAGAAAGCTGGGGCTAGGGTGGGTCTCGGAGGCCCCAGTTCAGCACTTTTCCCCATCATACCTTGCAGCTTTGAGACTTTGTGGATATTCTCATGGATAATCCTCCTCTCAGGGATACGGACTGGAAGAGAAGGATGTTGTTGAAGCCCAGTTTGGAAGGGACAGGATAAGGGGTGTCTGCCACTCATCAACAGGCTGAGGACAGCCCTCCTCCCCATCCCCAGTAGTTCATTGGGCTGCATGATTATCTAGCTTCACACCTCTCCTTCCTCATTCCTTCAGGAGATGAATGTGGTCTGGTGTTCCCCAAATAAACTTGACTCTGAAGTCCACTCTGGACCCAAGAAGAAGGAAACCAAGATCAGGACAAGGAAAGGACACTGGGACTTCAATAAGAGTTGCTCTGTGACAGATGCTAGCCAGAGTCCTCACTCAGCAGATGGGATGACCCTGCCCAGCAAGAGACATCTTCCAGAAGAGGGACCTTTTAAACCTCAAAGGATGAGTAGAATTTTGGTAACTTTTACCTCACTGGCATTTGGTTTCTATAATACCCTGTTCTCTGTCTAATTTTTAGGACTTTGCTGTCTGGACTTTGTTGATCTCTTTCCAAGTAGGCTGTAAGCACCTGAAGTACAAGCAACACGTACTTTAAGCCTTCAAACAATTGAGGTCAGGTATTTATACATGGTGAAAACTCATGGTAACTACCCCCTGAGTGAATGAATGAATGAATAAACTTCATATCTGCTAAACTTTAGAATTAAAAAATTGGCAGCTTTGTATATTAGACTGAAAGGAAACTGCAAAAGAAATTTACCCCCAAAATCTACATATTTTTACATAGTTACTTATTTCTCTTTGTTTTAGTACAACTTGTTTTTGTTTGGCCAAATAAAAATCATTTAAATAATTTTAATGTATCATAGGCAAAGTTAAAAGATGAAATTTAAGATTTACTTGCTTTAACTTATTTTTAGCAATAGAATTATATTAAACCATCTTATACTTCTAATAACTTTTTTCACAAAAGTACGTTTATTATTATAAATATTATTTATAAATTATTGTTAAATATTAATTTATTAAACATATTTACATTATTATTATTATAAAATTTAGAAAATACAGAACTGGAAAAACAAAGAAAATAACAATCCCCCATGATCCCACAACCACTAATGACATTGGTGCTAATCCTTTCAGCTTTTTCTTCTTCTATCATATACATACATAGCTCTCTATCTCTCTCTTTCTTTGCATAAATATATACACTTACTTATATATTTTTAGCCAAAATGGATCATATAGTATATGCTATTTTAACTTGCATTTTCCATTTAACTTATATTGACTATCTTCCTATATCTTTAAATATTTTTCTAAACATCATTAGTGATGGGTCTATGATATTCTTTATATGGATGTACCATTATTTTGTTAATTAACCTCTGCCTTTGAGCATTTAGGTTGCTTCCATATTTTCCCTATAAATAATACTCCAAGGAACATTCCTGTAACACAATCTTAATGCACCCTTAAATTTTTTTTCGATCATTATAATTATTACCTTAAATTCAGAGTTCTCAGTTTTTCCCAGTGACCCTCTTTTTATTCTTCTAAGGGAAAAAGCATTCTCTGGCCAAGACTGTATGTGTCAGATCTCCAGACCTCTGGGAACTCCAAACAAGGGATGGGAAACTTTGTTTTCTGAAGAGATTTTCTTCCTTGTACTGTAAGTTTTTATTATTTTGCATCAGGAAAAGTAAAATGTACTCAAGAGCTTAGCTTGCACTAACATTATTTAGAGTATGTAATGATTACCAGCCATCTCCTTCCCAAGGTTAGACAGTTGATTTTGCCACCATTCCCACCCCACCTCCATTACACAAAGACACACCGAGTATATGTTGGGGAAATGTGCTTATACACAGCTGGATATAGTTTCTTGCCTTTCAGTAGAAATGCAGTGCCTGTCATATAACAGGAGCTTAATTAAT